CGCAGGGGATGGAGCGTGACTATATCATCATCTCCTTTGTCAGAAGCGTCACCGAGGAGGAAGTGGCCACTGGTACTCACACACACACACACACGCACACAACACAAACACAGAAGCGCCCCTCCCCTGTGTATGTGCTCTTGTGGGCGGTGTGGTGTTGCAGGTCGTTCTGTGGGCCTCCCCCGGGAGCTGGAGTCGCAGTCTGAGGGCCTGCCGATGCAGCACGAGCAGCTCTTCAAGCACATTATGCGGCGGATGCTCAGAAGCTCTCTCGGCTTCCTCAATAACAAAAGGATCCTCAACGTGAGGGCGAACGACCCGCCGCCCACAGACTCCCACACACACACATGGATGGATGTGTGTGTGTGGGGTGGGGGGCGTTAGGTGGCTTTGTCCCGAGCCAAGAGGGGGCTCCTGGTGTTTGGCAACTTGGAGGTCCTCTCGTCAGGTGGGTGTGGGTGGGACATCAGACAACAGACACACGCGCACAGACACGCAGTGCTCTCCGCTCTGTGTTGTGTGTGTGTGTGGGTGCATTGATTGGTTCAGAGCTGATCTACGAGCGGCTGATCCACCACTACCGCAGCCTCAAGTGCCAGATCTCCACAGAGCAGTTCAAACAGCTCATGTGAGAAGAAGCCATACCCACACCCACACACCCTCCCTCTGTCTGGTGTGTCTGGTGTGTCTGTCAGGGAGGGCACCATCAACCCCCACGCCACCCCCCCTCCCCCGTCAGGTCTCCCCGCCGCTGACGACATCGGCATGGACGTCACAGAGGAGGACCGCATCAGGCAGCTGGACATCCTCCGCTCCATCAGAGCTGGTGGTGGCCGCGAAGACGCCAGCCCCACACACAGCTCTCCTGCCGCCGCTGCAGCTGGGGCCCCCGCTGCGGCGGCGGCGGCTGCTAGTGGCGGCGGAGGGGTGGCGGACGTCGATGCGCTCAGCTTATGGGATGACGACGCCTCGCCGAGGGTGAGAAGACACTCGAGGGCGCGGTCATGGTCGGCCATTGTCACGGCGCTTCTCTCGTCTGTCTGTCTCATGATTACAGGCGAACGACGATCTGCTGAGCGGTTCTGAGTATGAGGGCTCCGACGATGAGGACTCCTTCGACCAGTATGAGCAGCGGGAGGTCTTCAAGCAGCAGTACTTCTTCGGAGGAGGCAAGAAGCACCAGCAGCAGCAGCAGCAGCCCAGCGTGTTCACCAAGTTCGCCAAGGAGCTACACAACGGCACTACAGCAGCAGACAACGAGCCGGACTCGCCCCCAGTGGCACCACGAGCTCCACCACCAGCAGCAGCAGCTGCTGCTGCATCGCCTCAGACGCCCAATGTGCCTGTGTCGATGGGCCGTCGACCGTCCGGACTAACACCGGGCTCTCCGCCATCAGGAGGGAGTGGTCGCCGGTCGGGCAGTGGGCAGAGCTCTGCCCGACGGGCTGTGGGGCCATCGATGTCGATCGACGAGCTCAAAATGCTGGTACGTCTTTTGTGTGCCGAGCTTCCATCCATCCATCCATCCATCCAGAGCCTGCTGCCGTTGATGTGATGGCTGGTGGTCTCTGTCTGTGCGTGCCTTCCTCAGGCGGCACAGCGGGCCGAGGGCACCATAGCTACCGCCACGATGGAGCGTCAGGCGTCGAGCCCGCTCAACAACCTGCCCAGCACCACACACCAGCTGCCGCCCCTCCCACCCCCCTCGGGCCAGACAGGAGGAGGCCGCAGCACATCCGCCCCACTCACGTCCCCCGCACTCAATGGGCCGCCGGCTGTCGATGATCAACAAGCGCCCCCTCAGGGGACCACTCCTGCTGGCGCTGCGGCAGAGTCCGAGCAGGCCTCTTCATCGCAGAGTATACCAAATCGCCGGCCGCCGTCTGTGCCGGACGTCCCTGCGGGTCGGGGCATCTTCGCAACTGGCCATGTCGCCCACCGGCAGCAGCAGCCACCGGACGGCCTGCAGAGCAATGGCGTTGCTACTGCGGTGAATGGGGACCACCCTCCTCTGGCTCCGCGCAGCAACGGCACCAACAATGGTCGAGGTGGTGGTGGTGGTGGTGAGGTGGTGGGTGCCTGTCGGATGTGCCAGGAGCCGATTGAGGTGGACTTGTCGGGCGGCATACGGCAGGAGGACCTTTCCTTCATCGAGCTGAGGCTGTGTCTGCAGCACTTTGCCGCACTCAAGAAACAGTTCATGTGTGTGAGAGAGCCGTCACACACACACACACACACAGATGGATGGATGGATGTGTGTGTGTGTGTGTGCAGCGAGATGGAGCAGTTCTGGCGGGCCAAGTTTGGCAACCAGCCGGAGATCGGCATTGTCTTCGGCGTCATCTGTTCCCAGAGCTACCAGGCCGTATGCGCACGCACACACAAGGCGAGATGCCACTCAGCCAGTCATTGTGCCCGTTGTTTGATTTCAGCGTCTGTCTGACATACTGCGAGAGTACGGCGACGAGTGGGGCAAGGTGATAGTGGAGTTCGTGGCACACAAGGGGGTCAACTTTGAGCTCACCGACGCTCAAGGGAGAAGACCATGTGGGCTCATCACACACACACACATGCAGTGGCTGGTGGGGTGCATTTCCCTCTCTCTCTCTCTCTCTCTGTGTGCGTGTGTGTGTGTGTGTGTGTGATTGTCAGTTGAGGCTGCGGTTCTCGATTTCCAGACGGCTGCCATCCGCTGCCTATACAGCCTCTGTAAGGACACACACACACACACACACATACACACACACAGACTGGGCGATGTGTGTATGTGTGTGTGTTGGCTGGAGTGGCTGCCTGTCCTGCAGGTGACACCAACAGTGCGTTCTTCATGGAGCACCTCGACCAGATAGACACCGCCCTGGCCGTCGAAAGGCTCGACTGGAATCCCCACACCAGCCCCACCGCACAGACTCACACAGAGAGGTCCGAGCAAAGCAATGGGGTCAACTAGCTAGTGCAGCTTAGATCAGCTCAGCTCAGCTAAGCCAAGCTTAGCTACATGGGCCAGCAGTGAACGGCCAAAGGAGGGGGGCGGGGAGGCCTTTTTGTTTTGTCGCTCTCTCTCTCTCTCTCTCTGTCTCTCTCTGTGTCTGTCGGCTCACGTGGGTCGTCTTTAATCTGGCTGACGGACATCTGCCTCTGGTGCGATCGAGGCGAAGACATACATACCCCTCTCTCTATTGTCTGTCTGTGTGTGTGTGGGGTGCATGAGAAAGAAAGACAGAAGTGTTTGCTGCTGCTGCTGCTGCTGCGCTGCTGCCGCGCTGCTGATGGCTGGATGGCTGGATCTTTTTTCGCCGGCCCTCTGCCGTCCGTCTGCTTTCTTTTGAGGGCCACGAGCCACGGAACGCTCCGCATCCTGCACACATGGCCGACAGACAGACAGACAGACAGACAGACAAGTTGGCGGGCACAGGCGGGCAGAAAGGTAAGGACTGTTTTAGTGCGGCGGCATCGACGAATGGCATTTTCTCTCTGTGTGTGTGTATGTCTGTGTGGGAGGGGCAGAGGCTCGTTCGTTTGTCTGTCTCTGCTGCTGCATATCGGCGTGTGCTGTGTGGGGGGCGGAGAGGGGAGGAGGGGGTGGGGCATTGATGTGTGTGTGCTGTGTGTGTTTGTGTGTTATATAGATCTCGACAGACAGACAGACAGACAGATGCATGCAGTGGGTGGATCGACCTCGCTATTATGCCGAATGACCGACCTTATTGCCGACCTCTGTCAGCACAAAACAAAAAGACCCACACATTATCCGTCCGTCTCATCGCCTAACGACACACGACACACTGAGAGGAGAGCAGCTCTACAAATCGAGCAGCCGGCCCAAAGCGCTCTGCACAAAGTCGCTCCATTGGACAGTCCACCTGAGGTGCAACACACAGACAGAGACAGAGACAGAGAGAGACACTTGCACAGTGCATTTCTCTCTCTGTTGTCTTTTGTCACCTCCAGTATCTTCTGAACACCGCACCATCGACCCCCGCCGCCCCAAACAACCAATAAACAATCCTGAGAAGGCCAAAGGCCAAAGGCCAGCCAGAGGGAGAAAGTCGCACAGTTCCCGCCACCAAAGGGCGAGTGAGACGCACACACGGTTGGCAGCTGACCTGGTGTCTAAGTTGGAGAGAAGCGTGTAGGGCAGGTAAGCATCCATCGGCTCATCCCCGTCGGCCACCAGCACCTGGTTGGCCACGAAGTGGGAATTCCCCGTGTATATCAGCTCGAGAGGCACCGGCTGTGGCAAGGACACACACACACACACACACACACAAATGGGCCGTCTGCTGCCCCTTTTTGCGCCTCTCTGCCAGTGCTTACCTCTTCTCTCTGGTGCGCTCTCGTCACCCGGGCAAGGGAGACGGCAGCAGACAACCCGTCCCCCTCTGCAGAAATGTCTCCACAAGATGATTGAGGCCGCTGAGGCCCCTCAACACGCACCAGCCAGTCCCCCTGCCGCACCTCGGCAGCCGACACGTGCCTCTGTCTTGACAGGGCGGACTCGGCGCAGTCGCCTGCCGTCGTCAGTGGATCGAGGCATATTGTGGGAAGCCGCTCACCAGCGACAATGGGCAGGCGATGAGAGGGGGAGAGGGTCAGATGGAGGGGAGGGGCGGGGGCGCATGACGTCCTGTTGTGGTGGTGCAGCGGTTCGGCCACTAAGTCGACGACCTCGGTGGTATCAGACGCTGCATCACGTGACAGATGTCTCACGTGTGTCTTTCTCTCAGTGTCCTTCTCTGTCCTTTGTTTGCTCACCTGCGTAAGACTCCCTGAAGTAGACGTCAGTCAGTTCGACCCCTCTCGTCTTGCTGAAGGACAGAACCCGGTCGCCCACCACCACTTCCTGCGCCGGCACCGACTCGAGCTTACGAAAGTCCACTCTGTCCGATGACCCCACAAGGGCCGCAAGCAGGAGACCTGCCGCCGCGGTGAGCTGCCATGAGGACATCCAATGCATCATTGGTGGAAGGAACCATTTGCCGAAGGAGAAGGAGTCCCATGGGGCCGAGGGGGGGTCACGTGATGGGGGCAGCCTCCAGAGGGATGCGTTGGGATCGATGCAGGTCTTCTGCGAAAAGGACTGCACACACGTGAGCGCCTCGTCGGGCTGGCCGACCCACGAGCCGTAGAGACACTGGTAGTCTACACACACACGCACACACACAAGTCTCAGAGATGCTTCGGTCTCCCTTATTGCCGGTGCTGTGTACGAACGTTTGCCGGATCTCTCCCCGTGGAGCCTCGCCACTGGGTTGGCCATCTGTTGTTGCCAAAACCACTTTAAGTAGTAGACGTGCCTACACGACAGACAGATCATGTCAGCCAGCGTGGATGGATGGATGGATGGGTGGATGGCTGTCGTGTCCACCTACACGCTGCTGGGGGGCCCGATCCGAAAGATTCTCCAGACTTTGACAAAGATGTTGACTGCCGCTGGCGGCCTGATGCCCCAGATGGTCTTCCTGCCTAGGCCGGTCTCAATCGTGCGGCGACGCTGCAAGCAGCCTGATGGATGGATGGATGGACACACACATAGGGACAGGCTGGTCTGTCTGTGTGTGTGTGTGTGTGTCTGTGTGTGTCGTAATTTCACCGACCGGATGCGCCGCCCCGGACGGTGATCCGCTTGCCGGGTGCGTCTGTCATCCAATCTTGCCCGTGGTAAAGTGTCTTGGGCTCCGTCTGCCCCCCGATGCTGCCGGCGACGTTCCATTGGGCTGCAACGGTCTGGTTGACCTTGGAGAGCGGAGTCCACCCTTGGCAGTGAGGCGTATAGCAGAAGGCGTAGTATCTGCCTCGGTGCCGCCGCACCCATGGCCGCTGCTTGACGAAGTCGTCATAAGCAAGGTTCTCAAACTCGACAGACAAGGGGCCCGCCACGTTGTAGCGGACCATCTTGTGGCTCTCGCGGAAGGGAACCGGGCACATCTCTGCGATTGTCCGGGGCGTGCGAGAGACACACACACATGGATGGATGGATGGATGGGTGGCTGTCTTTGTTGGTGGGATGGTTGGCATACTCATGCAGCTGAACGGTGAGGTGAGGTAGCCGTTGAAGCAAATGGTCTTGAAGGCGGGCCGGGCGTCCCACGTGTCCTGTTGGGGCTCAGGCAGGTACCCGTCGGCACACCGCACCTCTGTCGCAGCGCCTGGGACGATGAGGCCGTGCATGGGCGGAATGGGGTAGCCTTTCTCTGGGTGGTAGTAGTTCTGCTTCCTCCCGTCGGCGTACACCATCTCATAACCAAACGGCTCGCACATCGCTGCGGTGGACAGAAGACAGGATCACACAAACTCTGCTGTAAGTGTCCGTCCGCTGCTTCCCCCTCCCTCCCTCCATCCCTTGGTCACTTACGATGGCACTGCATCTCGGGCTCGGACCAGTGGCCGTTGCTGCAGTGCACCTCTGACCTATAAGGCGGATCGAGCACGTTGGTGGCAAAGGTCCACCTGCACGTGGGTCTCTCTGCGGCGGATGCCTCTGCTTCCCCTGGGTAAAGGAACGCCCCCTTAGTGCAGCACGACACCGTCCGCGTGGCCCCGTTCCTAGCGGTGCCTGTGTTGTGGGCGGTGTCCATGCTGGTGCCGCGGCCCTGGACAATCATGGAGGTGCCGAAGCGAGCATCGAGGGCGTAGTCGTCCTCAGGCACGTACTCGGGGCAGTTTGCTGCAGGCCAGCGGATAGGACAAACAGACAGAGACATGTGTCTAAATGCCTGTGATTGGGCGGCGGCTCACGGACCTTCGCAGATGAGCAGGCGGCTGGTGTACTCGCCGTCCAGACATCTGACGGTCTGCCGATTGGCGCCCGCCTCAGTGAGCGACATCGCCTGCCCACACACACATGCCATCACACCCATCACATCAACACACACAGACCTATGGAAGGAAACAGATGCACTTGCCGCTCTCTCTCTCTGTGTCTCCTTCCTTGTTTAGAATGGTTTTGGTTGCTTACGCACGTCAGAGTGTCTGATTGCGCACCGTATCTCCAGTGACCTGCCCGAAGGGAAGAGCGACTCGGTGAGGTGGTACCTCGGCCGAACGATCTCGTAGCGAGACTGGTTGGTCACCGCCACGTCATTCGCCGTCGCCCACTCCACATAGTCAATGCACATCTCTGACAAACAGACAGACAGACAGCGCCGTGGCTCAGCTCTGCCCTGGCTCTTACTTCTGCATCTCAACTGGAGGGGCCACCAGCTGCCGTCGTTGCATTCAATGGTCTCCCCCTCCGAGCCGCTCACAGCCGAGTACATCTTGGCGCAAAACACCACCACGACAGTGCTGTGGCGAAGCGACTCGCCGCCGTCTATGGCATAGTTGGTGATCGAGTCTCCCAGATGCTCGAAATACACAGGCAAAGGCGGGCAATCCCCTGACGACACACACACACATCACGTCTCTCTCTCACTGCGATCGACCGTCTTGTCTCCCTCACTTCTGCACTGTATGCCGGTGAGCGTCCAGACACCGTCCTGACACTCGGTGTCCTCAATGGGCCGCGAGAGCGTCGACTCAAAGCCTCTCGTCGTATTGCACGACACCAGCTGTCGGCTGCCGTGAAGGTAAAGAGGCAGCACTCGCCCCGTGTCGGGATCGGTGCGGTTCTCGGCGAGCGGAGGGTTGTCCGGCGCGTCTCTCACGACGTACCTCTCCGCCTCCTCGTCAGGACGGTAGATGGTCATGTCCATCCACGAGAGGCAGTTGCGGGGGCATGCAAGTGTGGGACGGGTCCACTCGCCATCGTCGCAGTTGATGGTCTCGTTCTCCGGTGGCGGATGTGGGCAGAACACGGGATCACACTTGAGCACGAAGGCTGATCCGTGCATCCACATTGCGTCGCTGGGGGAGAAGAAGGGATTCGATTTGTCCTCCTGAGTGAGGCGCAACACGTCGTGAGGGATGGATGCGGGCTTCATGCGTGTGTCTGTCTCTCTCTCACGTCAGTGAGGGACCCAGGCCTTTTGCAGAACTCTGGTGGGTCGCAGAGCATCCGCTGGGGCTGCGGCATCTTGAAAGGCGGACAGCGGGCTATAAAGACACACTTACAGTGGATCGTTATGATCCATTCGCCTTGTTTCTCACGATGGCAGAAGTGCTGCAGCTCTGTCCACTTGCCGTCGAGACACAAGACGTCACACGCGTGTCCGCTGCAGTCCTCCACCTCGATAGGCACACCAGCCACCTCCCTCCTCTCCTTCAGGCGCGTCATCGGGCTCGTCAGATCGTAACCCTCCGTGCAGTTGACGGCCATAAAGTCGCCTTCGCGGTAGCCGATGGAGCGGTCGAGCGGCTCATTGAGAGGGCGGGGGGGATACAGCTTCAAGAAGTTGAAGGCCTGGTCTAACAGTTTCTTCTCGCCCACTGCATTGACCAGCTCGTGGTAGTTTCCACTGAAGCTGACATTGTAGAGGGGGGAGAGCTGCAGGAAATCCGCACCGGGGCAGTTGCCTGTGTGTCGACACACGTACACAAAGATGCAAAGACAAAGACTACGTTTCTCTCACGTGTGTGGTCTTCCTTACGCTTGCAGCGGATGGCCTGACGCCCCCAGGTGCCATTGTAGCAGACAACATTGTCAGGCTGCGTCTCCTGCCAAGTCGGATCGCTCCATCCGTCCGCACACCTGATCCACCGCCAGCTGTTGTGCCTGAAGTACCGGTCTCGCGTGAGGTGCGAAGACCGCATCGATTCTTGCGGCTTGGAGAGGTAAGCGATGCCGTCGCTGTCGTATGTGAGAGTCGACGCTTCGAAGGTGGGCAGATGGGAGAAGGCGTATGCTTCGACAGGGAGAAATGGGGGATAGTAGGGGCTGCAGCGGCCAACAGGCGACGGCAAGACGACCGTAAACAAGGGAAACAAATCGTGTTCGTGTCCTGAAAATCGTGTGTCTCGCGCCTACGTCGGCATTGTATCGTGATGGGCTCGAAACGGCCATTATGGCAGCTGAGGGGCTGCTGATAGTCGGGTTCATGAGGCGGCATGGCAGCGAAGCCGCGATACGGGTCACGGCTGCCTGATAAAGACAACGATAAGGTGTCTGTGCGTGGTTTGATGTGTCTGTCGTTTCCTCTTCTGTCACCCACCACGGCACTCGACGTATTCGATGTCGCCATGCTTATACGCGTCTTTGATGGCACTCGCGGCCTTGACGTACTCGACACCAGCGATGTACCGCTTCTTCAGAGGCGGGGGGCTGTCGGCTGCACAAACACCGCCAGACAAGGTCGGCGTCTGTCTGTGTCTGCTTCCTGCCCTTTATTTATCTAGCGTGTCTGTATCCGCCGCAGACAGACCTTTGCATTCAAAGTCTCTCGGCGTCCAGAGCCCGTCCATGCACCGCAGTGTGGTGCAGTCGTCGGACCCAAAGCCCTTTTTCCACCCATCCCTCTCCCCAGGCCTCCCGCAGCTCACCGTCCTCCATGCCGGTGCCTCCACATCAGGCCCTTCGCGCGCTGCGCACCTAAACACCACACACGAGCCGTGTCTCGGAAAGGAGCTCAGCTGGAAATCGGGTGTGGGCCGGGCGTGAGGCGTTGTGTTGGTGGATGGGGGAGGGGGAGGTGACGCCGGCCCCTCACACGCTGTGGTGTTACTGAGGTCATTGGCGGAGTCCGCCACACGGAAGCTGTACTTGAAGGGGTCGATCAGGTCGGCAAGGTCTCGACACGACCCTGACAACGGCACACAGAGCCCTCATGGATGTGTCATGCTATTCCCTCTTATCAGCTGACTTTTGCATGAGAGGAAAGGCATCGGGGGGCCCCACTCGCCCCGCAGGCACGCAATACTAGCCTGTGCACCGGGCCTTGCCGTTCCGTTGAAAAATGACCGCTCATTCGCACACCGCACATAGAGCACATCTCCGTGCTGATACTCGCCGCCCGCCCGCTGGCCCAACACCTCGTAAGCCGCGTCCATGCCAGGTGCACTGCACTTCTCTGCAACAGGCAACAATCCACAGATGCACGGCAAGGCAGAGACACTCTGGACAGGAATGTTCCCTCCCATGGTGTGTGGTAACTGACTGTTGCACTGGAAGGGCGGCGGGAAGGGCGACCATGTGCCATTGATGCACACGGCCTCGGCCTGCCCTGGCTGTCTCGGGGTGGCGGATGCGCCGCTGAGCGTCGAGCATTTTATGTTGAGTTTGGTGCCGTGGGGCAGCCAGGCCTCGGTCGTTTCCTGCCCAGAGGTGAGGGACGCCTCGTACAGGTCGGGGAACTCGAGCTTCTGTGCCGGATACGGCTGGCAAGGAGCTGAAGAGAGAGAGAGACAGACAGCACGGCAAAGCAAGTCTGCCATACTTGCTGGCGGCTTCTTGATCTGCTGACCCACCCATGCACTTCAGCAAAGCTCCCGTGATCCTTCCCCTGTCGCAGACCAGCGTCTGCGCCCTATCGGCTTTCCCCGCATCCGGCACAAACGTCCTCTCCGTGTTGCAGCGAACGGTCAGCTCAGTTCCGTGAGGCTGCCAGACGTCACTGCGCATTCTCGATACCTCCAGTGGGTCGGTGATCTCGATGATCTGCTCCGGGGCGGGGGCCTTGCGCGCAGAGAAGAATTGCCGGGGATCGAGGGTCGAGGCCCTTCTGGCAGCTCTTGGAAAGATGTAGGCATCAAAAGGGTGGAAAGAGGGAAAGGCGGGGCAGTCCGGCCCGCAGATGACGTGTTGTTTGCTGAAGTCCCCCTGGCTGCAGACCAGCGCCTCTTCGTCAGGCCCCATATACGGGTGGTAGGGCTTCATGGCCGCGCATCTGATGGTCACGCGAGTGCCGTGAGCAGAGGTTCCTCGCAGGGCAGCCTCGTTATCGATGTCATAGAGGTCGATTGCTGATGGGGGCTCCGGTGGACCGTCTGGCGGCCAGTAATTGCGATGCAGCTCGCCACCGACATAGGCAGACGATGGGCCGAGAAGCTTCACAGGGAGACAGGGTACTGTCAGACAGAGACACCAAGAGACGATGTTGGTGTCCTGTGTCTGTGTGTCTGTGTTGCTCACGTTGGCAGTGGATGGACACCCGCCCCCACTGGCCGTCTGCACACGTGACGGTCTCTTCTTCATTGGGCATCTCCCTATCCTTGACAGCACTGACTGCGGGGTCCCTCTGACACATGACCCTCAGCTTGAAGCCGTGGGCAAACGACCGGGCCTGGGCGATTTCCCTCTGCGGCGGCTCGGTTCTAAATCGCCCCTCAGGTAAAGGGAACCATGGGCCACATGGTGCTGGAGACCAGAGAGACAGAGAGCGAAAGAGACGTTGACGTGCGAACGTTGGCTTGGCCTGCGCACCTCTGCAATGCAATCGATTGGGCGTCCAGACTCCCTCCAGACAGGTGAGGGTCTGCCGGTCGATCACGCTTTCCATCATTGTGATGTCGGGGACCTGCGTGCAGCTGATCTCTGCAGTGCTGCCATGGCGGAAAGGCGGACTCGATCGGCCGTTGTAGATGACCTGGTAGGCGTTGGTCTGCCCTCGACCCTGGTACAGCTCTGGATAACCCATGCACTGCTCTGCCCATTGCACACACACACACACACACACACATAGATGGAGGAAAAAGTCTCGTTTTGGAGTCCTTCATGCGAGTGGCGGTTTGCTCACTGAAGCACTGCAGGTCACTCCGAGAGTACTCATCAACGCCGCCAAGATCGCCCCCCTCACACTTGACGATATCGGACGCTTCGGCGCCCCCCACCCTCTCAGGCTCGGCGTAGCCGTTGCGGCTGTCGCAGGACAGCCGAACCGCCGTGCCATAAGGCACCGTGGTGATGTTCTCGACCCTAGTGCCTTCCATGCCGACATACTCGACGTCAAACATGAGCTCGGCCGTTCCGTTGCCCACATAGGGGTGAGGGCCGCACGGAGCTGACAGCACCGACACAACACAGTGGTAAGTCGAGTCTCTTTGTTGACCGATTACTCTTGCAATCAAGCTGGTAGTCTGTCCACTTCCAGTTGCGGGGATCGTCGCAATCGGTGTCCTTGCCATAGAATGTGCACCCGACGGTTTCCGAGGCCTCCTGCCCTTCACGTGGCACCGATCCCGCCCCACACGAGATGGAGACGGTTGACCCTGGCGGGAGCAGACGAATCGTGGCTGTCGGGGGATCCAGCACGTATATGTGGGGGTTGAGGCCGCGGAACCGAAAGGGAGGGCACTGGCCGTGGCATTCAAGGACGACAGGGCTCCATGCGCCGTCGGTGCACTGCACCTTCTGGAGGGTCGATTGCAGTGCCGCATTGACTGGTGGCAGATAGCCGGGCTGGCACGATACCGTCCGCTCCGCCCCCTCAGCGAAGCCTGTGTCTCCCCCATCGACGCGATACCTCTTGTCAGACAAGGGCTGGACATAGTCAGGGGGCTGCAGCAGAGTCGACGGGCACGGCTCTGCCAAAAAACGAAAGAGAGACAGACAGATCGAAGACCATCTGCAGCACCGGGAGACAGAATCTCTTACGTTTGCACGGGAGATCTAGCTCATCGATGAGGCCGTCGCTGCAGAAGAGGCTCGTCACAGCGTCTTCGACGTGCAGAGGGGGCAAAAACGGCAGAGCGCAGGTCACCTCAATGAGCTCACCGTGGCAGATCCGAGACGCCCGCAGCGGGCTCAGCACTTTGTAGCGAGGCGCCTGTGCGGCTCCCAGGTCTGTTTGTGGCCACCATGGGGTGTCACTTGGCACGCAGTCCTCTGTAGCGGAGACACAGATGAATAAGGATAACAGGGGAGACAATGTGGGGCGTACTGAGGCATTCGAGGATCTTTGGGGGACATGCACCGGACTGGATGGCACCACACTTGATGGTGTCCTCTTCAATAAAGCCGTGGTACGTCGTGTTGCCGACGGTCTGGCACCGGAGCGTCAGCACACTGCCGTAGTGGCCGGAGCGGCGCAGGTACTTCGGGCTGAAGACGTTGATGCCCCTGTCGCCGAATTTGGCCAAGTATGCGTCGACAGGCTGCTGCAGCCGCTGGAGCTCCTTGATATACGGGGGGCACATCTCTGAAAGCGCCGCAACGGTTGGGAAGGGATGTACGTGTGTGCGTGTTTTCCTTGTCATGTGTGTGTGTTCCTCTGTCCATATACTTCTGCAGTCGCAGCTGCAGTCGTCCGGGGTCTTTTCGACGTCGCATTCTTCGTTCTCTGCCTGCACTTCGCCGTCGCCACAACGCTGGTCGAAGTCTGCCGAGGAGAGGAGGAAGCGGTCGCCGCTCACATCATGCAGAATCATGTCTCCAGTGTCTCCGGGATGTTTGGCTGCTTACTGAGGAGCTCAGATATCTGCTGAACAGCGCCTTTAATGTTGTTCTGTAGCCTGCCTATGTTGGCGTAATGAAAGTAGCGGATGCGGCCTAGATAAGCAGCAGTGAGAAAGAGGGGAAGAACCATCCATCCATCCACTGACTGTTGGTCAGAAATCGTCAAATCGTACGTACCTCTGAGACATCTCTGCCCCCGGTGGTCACATCCCAACGTGAGCGGGCTCGGCAGCATCAAGTTGGTCACTATCAGGTCGGGCAGCCGCACCTGGACCTTGATGTTGCCCATCATGAAGATCTGCATCGTCGACTGAGACACCACAAAGTGAAACACAAACCCTCTCTCCGACCGCCAACAGATCTTGGCCATCCCTGGCGGCCTCCCCTCGCCACCTGCCGCCTCCTTTCCTCCTTGTCTCGGCTTCTCGGGTGCCGTGCCGTTGTGAATGGGGTCGAGAAGGCCGATGTAGAGGTGGTCAGGGTCCCAATCACCGTCCTCGTCAAAAGCTGCCACGGCCCCCAATCTGAAGCCCCAGAAGTTGTCCAGAAATACGACGGGCTGCTCGGGGGAAGGGGCGCGGTCGAATGCGAGAAGGAGGGTGAATGTGAAGCCCTCGCTCTGGCTTTCCGCCCATCGGAAGCAGACTCTCTTAAGGCCATTCGGCGCGGTGATCACATATCGGCCTGACGAGTGGGAGAAGGGACAGTAATGAAAAGACAGCCTTGGAGAGCATCTCACCTGGCGCGAAGCCGAGCCATGTGGTGCCGCCACTAGGAGGCTTGTCACTGCAACATAAGAGAGAAAAGACACCAGGCACAAGGATCATGCATGAGGCCAGACGTACAAATGAAGCAAACGGCTCACATCTGGTGCAAGTGAGGCGGGTGGTCTTCACCATCGAAGATGACTCCCTCCGTCCCGAGAGCGGCGTCCTCCCACCGCCATGGAAGCCGTTTGTCCTGCGCAGTGACCTTGAGAGAGATGACCTCGGCCCGGTGAACAAGGCAGACGGGCAGCAGCTCGCCCTTTGCAATGACCCCCTCCGTCTCCCTCCATCGTGCATCGCCAATCGTCTCCCGCAATGCGTCCTCTTCAGGGCCGCCGGCAAGGCTTAGCCATTCTGTCTGTGTCGCCGTCTCAAAGCGTTGATTCTCTGACAGCAGGCTTGGCGCTGGCGACGGTCTTGTTGCAAGCGGCAACAGTGCCGTCAAAACGATGGCCGCAGGGCAGCAACGGTGTCTGGAAGGCATCTGCGCTGCTCGTATCACCTTGAGACTGGGGGGCCGTTTGCGATCAACGGCTGACCACGGTGCGGATGGATCTGCACAGCTTCAGATTCACACATAGATAAACGCACACATTCACACACACGCAAGTCAGCCAGTCGATAGAGAAAAGGCGAACAGACACTGTGTCCGTCATTCCACCGACCAGCTACTATATACATATACACACACACTCACAAGGGCATGGCGGCGCTCAGTTTGAATGCGCCCATCCCATCCGTGTGGGACGAAACCGTGTGTGTGCACACCAACGGCAAGACAAACGCACCCCTCCCACAAAAACATGGCCTTCCTGGCTGCAAACGACGTCAGCCAAGAAAGCGCTTCTCTGCCCTTTACACGGCCCACACACATACACACTCACGCGCATTGATGCACTCCATTTACGTCACTGTCAGCCCATAGTGCGAGTGCTGGTGGATTGTGCCTTGGTGTGTGTGGGGTGTGTGGGGTGGGCCGCATTAACCGGCACACAGCAGCAAACATCCATCCACTATTGAGCAAAAAAAGTGCCGGCAGCGAAGCTACGTGCTGTGGTGTCTTCCTACATGCGATCGACAGACAGCCTGACGACACACACACATACACAGGATGAGGGCGATGGATGCACTGCGCTGCCTTTTCACGCCTCACCCTCTAAGAGCGACGAATTGCAGTCAGGAGAGTCCCCCACCGTTCCGTCTCGTGTGTGTCGATGATAAAGTTATCGCCGACCTTCGTGCCGGTGGTGAGGAGCTGCTGAATGGCGGCGCGGGCGGTGCTGCCGCCATCCACATACAGCATCACCGTCAAACGCTCCAGGCCCCGCACGCCATCCACGATGGACGAGATGCCGTCACGGATGCGCTTGGCAGCAGCAGAGGCCTCCAACCCATCGGGCACTGAGGAAGGAGCAACGCACAGACGGCAGCAGTGCACACACATAAGATGAGCCGCCAGAATCGTCTGTTCCGGTGCATACCTGACGACCGCATGAGTATGCGGCCAATCGACGGGAAGCTGTCCGGCCCCCAGCCGTCCAATGCGCCCTCAGTGAGACTGACTACGACATTGACACCTCCCACCGCCCTCCCCGCCCCCAGACCCTCCAATACGCCGATCCTGTCCCCTGAACTCACCTCTCGGCCGAAATCCACCAGCTCCACCTCCCTGGGCATCTTCTCTGCCAACAGCCGACCCGCAGCACCACCAAGAGCACTGTCGACAAACAGCTGTCGGGCTGTTGGCAACGGCTGCAGGTGGTCGATGATGGCGGGGTGGGGAGAGGGGGCGTTGGGAGGGAGGACGAAGCCAGGGGCGTTGCGGACAATCACGGCCGTGACGTTGTCGAATGTGAGTGTCTTGACGATGTCGATGGCCGCCTGGCTGGGGCTGTCGACGGGGTGGGTGAGGCTATGCTGGCTGATGGTGTAGTTGATCTGTGTCGCCTCCTGTGCGGCCGCCTGGATGGCATTCATGACGAGGGGCGAGGGGTTGGGGGGAAAGTCGTCGCTGTAGAAGAGCGACAGGTCGAAAGTATGCACACGTCGGTACTCGAAGACGACTTCGGCGTCGACCCGGCAGCACGAGCTGTGGAGCGACTCGACGGACTGCAACAGGGGAAGGACGCTGCTGTCGATGACGAAGAAGCCCATGTCCACCGTCAGCCAAGTGAGCGACCGGCGGCAGCCACGCGATGTGAGGACATCCTATAGCACACAGGAACGGCACACACACATGTGGTGATATCACCGTCAAGGCCCGTCTGTCGCGTGCATCTATTGCTGGCTGAGTTACCTTCAATCTGTCCACCGCTGCACGGGCCTTGTCAACATCGAAGGACAGCTCGATGGTGCCGATGCTCTGCAGACCTGCAAGTGGCCCTCTCTGCCAGGCCGCTGCCTTGGGAATACGCCCAAACATCGCCGCCCACTGCTCACCCGGCAGCCGGTGACCGCCCACGCGCTGCAGTGACTGTGACGAGCAGATGAGGCGGCCCAGCTCATCGGCCCCCCACTCGTGCTGCTCCACGCGCTGTAGTGATGGCATCCGCCAGTCTCTGCTCGCCAGGTCGCGATGAGCGAAGCGGAGGCCGGTGATGGTCGTGAGCGCATCGAGCGATGGGGGCGGGACGAGAGGCGCGATCTGGTCAGGGCAGAGCTGCTGCCGTCGGCGGACGGTACTCATCTCCCTCTTAGCCAATCGCACGCCTTCCAATGTGATGGTCCGCAGGGAGCCGCCCTGCATGTTGGCCGCTCTCCGGCCGGCAACATGGCCCTCGATCACGGTGATGAAGACGTCAACGCACCACAGAGGCGTCATCACAGGATAGCGGAACGTAATCGTCGTCAGGCGAGTGAGTTTGTTGGCCCATTGGGTGACGAGAGCGAGAGGGACCCGCTGCCACACCGACCGCTCGTTGCTGTCGGTGCTGTCGATGGTGAGGTGTGTGTGTGTGGGCGCTGCGTGGTCCCAGGCCGTGGTGGACAGCAGGCCGAGCAGATAGAGGGGCAGAAAGGCCGTGATGCAGTTGACAAGACCAGGCTGCACAAAGGCAAAGACACACAGAGAGCGACACTAGTGAGATGTCAGGTGCTTCATTCAGACTGACTGAGTCATTTGCTCTACCGTGTCTGCGATGGTCTGCCTGAGTTCCCTCTCCCTCTCTGCGCGTCGCTGATCCTCATCGCTTGCAGCAGTTGCAGATGTGGCCTGTCATCACACACACACGATTGACAAACAAACAATCACCCACTCATTCACGCGGCCTCACCTGCCGGCCGTCATCTCCAGCGACAGCAGCAGGAGCAGACATTCTCCGTCAGTCAGTGTGAAGCAAGCAGCAGTCGAGCGACGAATGTCACTGTTGCCTGATACCAGCTCTAACAAGTCTGCTTCGTCCGATTTACAGACTCGCCTTCCCTCTCGTGACGGAGCGATGGTATCGACAGGAGAGTTGGTCGGAGAAGATGCTCACTCTGTTCACCGACCCCCCTGGCGGCAGCATCGGCGATGTGCAGGACCATTTCTACCACTTCTTCAGCGACAGAAGCGACGCACACCCCGCGGAGATCCAGTTTGTCGGAAAGCCTGTCATTGCTAACCGCTCAGTTCCCATCAGGTCTTTCTTCCAGGCGCACGAGGGTGCTGTGCGAAAAGGCCGGTGAGGACCTTTCCTGTAGTTAGCTGAATAGAGGATCTGCTGGGCGGTAAGTCCCAGAGTAAGAGTGCTTTTACTTTAATAAGACCGATGGACTGGCCAATCAGTCAATGTTGTTTCTGTTCATGTATGGCATCATGAAGGGTGGTCAACACAGATCTCACTTCGATGATGGCTGATAAGATCGTGTCTCCTCAGAATGCTTTCCTTGTCTTTCCTTGTCTTCTCCTCTCTCTCTCCGTTACACAGTAATCTACCCTACCTCACAAGCTCGCAGTGGTTCGTCTTGCCAAGCTGGCAAACCTGACAGGTGCGACCAGGCAAAAACCTATCGTCTTCTATAGGCAACCTGGCCATGAGGGTATGTGTGTGTGGGAGGCAGGCAGGCAGGCACTAGGCCGACCAGATGTGATTCGTATGTTGTGGCGTTTCTTGTGTGTGTCAGGAGCAGAGAACAACGCCGCCGCGACTCCCATCCGGCCATCCACGCAGCAGCAACAAGGTATAAGCACAGCGACACAAAGGCACGCGGGGAGGCAAGGCTTGTGCCTGTGTTGTCTGATGCAGATGTCGTGGTGGAATCTCCTGCTGGCCGTCCAAAACGGCGTGCAGTACGTCGTGAAGAAATGTGAGTGACGGCTGTCTGTGTCTTCATGTGCTGGCCAATGTGGGACACTATGACATACCAGTAGGTGGGTGTGCGTGTGTGGAGGGAGGGAGGGAGAGCTATTTGTTGTTTGTGTTGTGTTGGTAGTGCTGGTTGTGTGGGCAAGTGGAAAGCGATTTACTGAGCAGATTTGGTATGATTGATGGGCTAATTTGACAATGAGTAGCTTGTTCATGGACGTGTGGGCGTGGTGAGATTGTCGTGTTGATGAGGCACGGATTGGTCAAGGACGGACAGTACAGCGAGGAGGCCGCCCCCGGACCAAGCAGAACACACAGACAGACAGACAGACAAGACAGACAGATGGCAAATCCATGCAGGCAGACAGACAGATGCATGCTTCATGTCGGACATACGCACATCAATTCGATTTTCGTCGACGACGTGAGGCCACGGCCTGTGTGAGTGTGCTCCCATTGTGCCCCCAGGATCAACGGTTGACACGACGGAATGGCTCGCTGGCTTTGCACAGCTTCACATACACCAGACGCACAGACACATGCACAGGAAGTCATCTACTCAGAGTAAATGCGTCCACAGATATATCCGTCATTCCACCCACCAGCTACGTGTAGACACCAACACACACACACACACACACATTCACATGGACGTGGCAGCATTCCGTTTGAATGCGCCCATCCCGTCCCTGTGGGATAAAACCACGCGTGTGCACACCTCCAACACGCACACACATGCCCGCCTCGCTGCAAGCGACGTCTACCAGGAGTCCGCTTCTCTACCCCCACACAACACGCACATATACGTCTATATCTGTGTTGGCACCAACACCCGATGACAGTGTTGGTGTATTTTGTCCCGCGGCATGTGAGATGTGAGATGTGTATGGGGGCGGGGAGCATCAGCCGACAGACACAGCGGAGAACATTCATTCACTCATGTATTCACCAAACAAGTATCAGCAACAATTAATGCTGCGTGCTGTGGTGTCTTCCTAGATGCGATCGACAGACAGCCTGGCGACACACACACACAGATACACAACATGGGGGTGATGGGTGCATTGCTCTGCCTCTTTCCTCTTACCCTCTAGGAGCGACGAGTTACAGTCAGGCGAGTCCACCATCTCGTCTCGCTTGTGTCGATGCTAAAGTTGGTGCCGACCTCCGTGCCGGTGGGGAGAAGCTGCCGAACGGCGGCGCGAAGGGCTTCGCTACCACGCACATTCACCATCAAACACCGCAGGCCCCCACCACCCACGATCGATGAGATGCCGTCGCGGATGAGCTGGGCAGCCGCAGAGGGCTGCAAGTCGTTGGGCACTGAGTGGAAACACACACACACGGCAGCAATGCGCACACATCAGATGAACCAACCGAAATCCTCTATATTGAAATGCGTTGCGTACCTCTTACGCCTAACTTCAATTCGCCAATCGATGGAAAGCTATCCGATGACCAGCCTTCCAATGCACCCTCAGTGAGACTGATCGAATGCTGAAAACCTTGTTTTTGCCTCAGCAGGCCGACCTCGACAGTGCCCACTTCCCTCTCCGCCCCCAGCCCCTCCAGCACTCTCCTCCTTTCCTGTGGACTCACATCTAAGCTGAACCACACCATCTCCATCTTGCTCGGCATCTTCTCTGCCAACAGCCGACCCGCCGCACTGCTCACAGCGCCGCCGGTGTCCAACTCTTTGGCCTTTGGGAACGGTTGCAGTTGTTCGATGATGGCGGGGTGGGGTGAGGGGGTGTCGGGAGGGGGGACGAAGCCAGGGGCGTTGAGGATCGCCACGTACCGCGCCCTGTCGAATGTGAGTGTTTTGGTGATGTCGATGGCCGCCTGGCTGGGGCTGTCGACGGGGTGGGTGAGGTCATGCTGGCTGATGGTGTAGTTGATCTCTGTCGCCTTCCGTGCGACCGCCTGGATGGCATTGAGGGGCGAGGGGTTGGGGGGAAAGTCGTCGCTGTAGAACAGCGACAGGTCGAAACTCTCAAGACGCTGGGCCTCAAAAACGACGTTGGCGTCGGGTCGGCAGCACGACTTGTGCAGCGACTCGACGGACTCCAAGAGGGGAAGGACCCTGCTGTCGATCTGCTTGCTCAGGCCACGGATGTTGTGGTTAGTCCTGACCGAAAAGCTCATGTCCACCACCAGCTGAGTGAGCGATCGACGGCAACCACGCGATGTGAGCGCTGCCTACATCACACACATACATGTGGTGAGATCACCGTCAAGACCTGTCTGGCACGTGCATCTTCTGCTGCTGACTTACCTGCAGTCTGTCGACCGCTGCAAGGGCCTCGTTAACATCGCCGGCCAGCTGGATGGTGCCGATACTCTGCAGCTGACTCAGCGGCCCCGGCTGCCCAGCAGCTGCCTCGGGGATGTGCTCAAACACACTGGCCCACTGCTCACCCCGCAGATCACCGCTCACGTGCCGCAGACACCGTGACGAGCTGATGAAGCGGCCCAGCTCTTCCGAACGCCACCGCTCCTGCTCCACTGTCTGGAGTGACGGCATCAGCCACCCTCTGTTGGCCAGTTTACCGTACTGCCAAACGGCTCCGGTGACGGCTTTGAGTGAGGGGAGGGTGGAGGGCTCGGTGAGGGGAGGAGGGAGAGGGGGGCGCCGTCGCTCCACTTCACGCTCCGCCGCCGCACTCGGCCTCACTTTTTCGAATGCGATGGTCTCCAGCCGACTGGCCGACTGTCGCACCTCGGAGGGCCTCTGAGGGGCGGGGGCGTCTCTCTGTCTGTCGGGCTGGTCGGGGTTTGGAGGCGGCTGAGTGGGGGCGGGCGGGGCGGCCGTGGTCTCAATGATGGTCACCAACACGTCACTGCACCACATGGGGTGGTCCTCAGGGTGGCAGAGGGCGATGTGAGTGAGGCCGGTGAGCCGTGCCGCCATCCGCTTGACGAGGTCGAGAGGGATCTTCTGCCAAAAGCTGCGGCCCTCGGTCGGCGATCGCCAGCAGTGCTCGTCGTCCTTGGTGGCGCAGTCGATGAAGAGTCGTGTGTGGCTGGGCGCCGCCTGTTCCCACATCTGCTTGGTGTTCTTGGCCAGCCGCTGGGAGAGGGGGATGAGCACATGAAGGGGCAGACACTCCATCACCAACGAACAAATCTGCACAACACACAGAAAGAGGGAGGGAGAGCGGCAGGAGTGAGTGTGTCTGTCGTTCACTGCAGATTCCCTCTGGCTGGCCTCACCGTTTCTATGCGCTGCTGCTGCTCTCTGTTGCCCGCCGCTGCACTGTTCTCTACACCATTACAACCACCGCCAGCCGGGTTGCCAACCACACGCGCTCGCTTGTTGCCGTCGCCAACACAAACCTGCACAGACAGACGCACCAATGAGGCCGATCCATGTGTGTGTGCGTGTTCGCGTACGGTCTTGGAGTGCTGCCCTTCTGTGTTGTTCTCGTCCGAGTTCACAGCACCGCCCACTCAATGGATACACCGAAACAACCTCCCGTCGCCATCAGAGCCCTGACCACACACACCAAGCTCTCCTCTCTCCGGGTGTCTGCTGTAGGGTGTGCGAACCTGTTGCTGATACGGTGTGTGGGTCTGATTGTGCGGGACGACCTTCTGGAACGGCTCCCGCACCCCGTTGACCGCCTCCACCGCCCTCAGGTACACCACCGTCCCTCCCTCGGTCGGCTGCACGCGATACACCTCGGCCAGCGCCATGCCCCTCTTCGCGACAGTCGACACCATCCACACACGAGTGCCCTTCTCGTAACACTGAGGGCCACGGCGGGACACCACCTGCTGAAACGAACAGGCACAAAGATCAGTCACTCCACACAATGATAGAGTGCGCTGTGCCTTTACTGACCGGCGTCTGCGGCTGAGATCCAGCGGCGGATGACGACGAAGCGAGAGCCGCCATGGCGCCAATCAAGCAGTGGTCGAAGCAAGCAGCAGACGTCAAATGAGCGCCTGCAATGTCAAGCGGGATGGATAAGTTGTGTTGCTTTGGCTGTGTGTTCCTTCACTCACTTACGTGTGTCCCGAACTCGCTTGGCTCGAGACTGATGTCTTGAAGCAAGGCGATTTGACAGTGCGATGGCGTCTTGTGCGCGCGCTTTGCAAAGTTACCCTAACTCGAGGAGAGATCGGTCCCTTCGCATATGTCCTGTCGTTGTTGTCCATCAGACTCAGACCGTTTGTCTGCTTGTCCCAGGTTGATTCGTCAAACCATCTGTCGGCTTCAAGTTTGCAGCGCTACATTCCCCGGCTGCTTAAAGTTGCTTCACTGCGTGACGGAGATATGTCTGCTGCTGCTGCTGCTGCTGCTGCTCCTGCTGCTGCTGACGGTCGGCAGGTGAGGCTGCGTGAATGGGCGGCGTGATTGTTTGTCAGCGCTCATCGTTCACTCGTCTGTGTGTGATGACAGGCCACATCTGCCGCTGCTGCAAGCGATGAGGATCACCGACGCGCCGAGAGGGATAGGGAACTCAGGCAGGCCATCGCAGACACGGTAGTCCAAATGACTCAGACAGTCTGAATGAAGCACTGACTCACTCACTGTCGGCTATCTGTGTGTCTTTGCCTTTGTGCAGCCTGGTCTTGTCAACTGCATCACGGCCTTTCTGCCCCTCTATCTGCTCGGCCTGCTGTCCACCACGGCCTGGGACCACGCAGCGCCCACACACACCCACCTCACCATCGACAGCACCAACAGCAACGAGCGGTCGGTGTGGCAGCGGGTCCCTCTCGCTCTCGTCACCCAATGGGCTAAGAAATTCACTCAGCTGACAGCAATTACTCTCCGCTACCCCGTGGGTAACGTCGTGGGCAAGGCTCTGTGGCGCATCGACGTCTTCATCACGGTGATTGAGTTGAATACCACTACCCTGCGCACGATCGCATTTATAGAAGGGGTGCGATTGGCTAAGCGGGAGATGATGACCGTCGGGTCCCGACGGCAGCAGCGCCCACTAAGACAGATCGCGCCTCTCGTCCCGCCGCCATCATTGGACTCGCTCACGACCATCACCGGACTCCGCTTCCCTCATCGTTGCCTGGCAAAGAGAGGGTGGCGGATGCCATCACTACAGTGCGTCGAGCAGCAGGGGTGGAGGGCGGATGAGCTGGGCAGCTTCATCAGCTCGTCACGGTCGCTGCAGCACGTTGGCGGGAGGCTGTGGGGTCCCGGTGAGCGGTGGGCCAGTGTGTTTGAGCTCATGCCTGAGGCAGCTACTGGACAGAGAGGGCCACTTGCACGCCTGCAAAGCATCGGTAGAATCGAGCTGCGCGGCAATTTTGACCGCGTCTTCCACTATGCCTGTACAATGGTCGACACACTGCATGTAATTCAGCAGAAATGGTTGACCAAGTTTGGCTGTGATCACAGCATATGTGTGTGCTGTTCGTGTGTGGTGCAGGCTGTGCTCACATCGCGTGGCTGCACTGAATCGCTGACTCAGTTGGTGGTGTTGATGGAATGCAAGAGGGATGTGGCCATTGATATCGACAGTCGTATCCTTCCCCTCCTGCATTCCATCGAGTCGCTACACAGCTCGTGCTGCCAACCCAACGCCGAGATCGTCTTCGAGGCGTCTTCGAGGCGTCTTCAAGGCGTCTTCGACCTGTCGTTCCTCCATGCGGACACATTCCCTTCTCACCCCTCCCTCCCGCTCAAGATGGCCATCCAGGCGGCCGCAAGGAAGTCGACACAGCTCGAGTATTTCATCAGCCAGCATGACCTCAGCCACCCCAGCCAGGCGGCCATCGACATCGCCAACACACTCACATTCGACAACGTGGAGCGCGTGTGGGTCAAGGACGCCGATGGCTT